GCGCTGCTCTCGGCGCAGCTGGCGGCGCTCGACCGCGCGACGGCGGCGGGCGGCGGCGGCACAGAAGCGGCGGAAGTCGGCGTACGACTCGGACGACTCGGAGCCGGAGGTGGGCGGCCGCGGGACTGCGGCATAAAGGACGGGGGGCGTCGTCGTTGGGGTGTCCCGCCTCTTTGCCCGTCCTTACTTTAGCAAATGCAATATATTGTCGGCGTGGCCCGGGCCGGCGCTGCATCGGCGATTTCGGAGCGGCTGTTGCTTCTGCTCTCTCTCTCTCTCTCTTTCACACACACACTTACACACACACACACACACGCGCGCGCGCGCACGCACACACAACACCCCTATCCAGGACGACTCCGACTCCGACGCGCCCGCTGACAAGGACAAAGACGAGGACGACGCCGCCTGGGCCAAGGCCGTGACGGCCGGCAAGATGAGCAAGGGCGACAAGCTGGCCGCGGTCGACCACTCCGCGGTGGAGTATCCCCCCTTCAGGCGCAACTTCTATATCGAGGTGCGGCGCGGCGTAGCGCCGGGCACGTGCTTTTTTGCCCCCTCTGCTTGGTCTCAAGAGAGTTTGCCGGAAAGATGTCTGCGACTTCGGCGTCGTAGCATATGTAGGGCGGCGCGTCGGCTGCTGATGGGGCAATCGCGGCGCTTGGGTGGCGGCATTTTGATCTATTTGCCCGCACCGCCGCGTCCCACGAGACTCGTGTGGGGTCATCAACCTGCCGTGCATTCTGTGCATCCCCTAGATGTCTCAATCACGTGCCGTGAACCAACCCCGATGCTGTTGCCCGTATTCGTGTCATTGCAGGTGCCGGAGATCGCCAAGATGAGCGACGAGGATGTGGCCAAGCTCAGGAAGGAGCTCGACGGCATCAAGGTGATCTGATCTGATCTGATCCGCCATGACATGAAGCTGCTCACGCCCTGGCGCCCGCGCGAGCTTTGGGGTCGGGGCGCACAAGCGCTGAGTGGCAGAGGCAGCCCCAAATTTGCTAGGTATTGACCCGACCGCCACGCCCGCGCCCGCGCCGGCGTCCGGACGCCGCAGGTCCGCGGCCGCGCGCCGCCGCGGCCGATCCGCACGTGGCACCAGGCGGGGCTGTACTCGCGGGTGCTGGATGCTATGCTCAAGAGCGGCTTTGAGACGCCCCTGCCCATACAGGCCCAGGTGTGTGTATTGTGTGTGTGTGTGTGTGTGTGTGTGTGTGTGTGTGCGTGTGTGTGCGTGCGTGCGTGCGTTGAGAAGGACGTGTTGTGTGAGGGCTCGAGCCCTTCTGTATGTCCACCCACTCATTCTTGCCCCTCAACTGTCAAACGCCACGGCACCCCCCCCCCCCCAACCCCCAGGCCCTCCCC